CGACGCTAGACGCTACCGGGGGTTGGAGAGCATACTTAGAAGCGCACAAAGGCTGCCACAAGAGTGCGTTGAGTAAAACACCTGGTATTGCGTCTCTTACAAATGTTGCTTGCGCCTGCACGATCCGTATGGCAGAATGGCAGTGGGCTATATCTTTTTTGTTCTACTTACGTGTGACGCTGGCAGGGCAAGGCGGATTAATGGAATGCCATGAACACACAAGCCCGGACGCGACACCCTCCACCCGCCTACTCTACCCCGCTGGTTCTCTGTAGCCAGACCGAACGTAGTCGAGGCCGACGATGAGTTGGGCCGTTGAACTCGCTCAATTTGGCTAATTACAGTCCAGAAGATTTCGTGAGGTGGGCTGTTGTAGGGATCGAGAACGGCACGGGCTGGTCGCTATGGTGGGAGCCTGTCGATCGGGGTTCTTAGTATCGAGCAGCAGTTAGACAGGCAGGGGTCATTGTGTGTATATTGATGAGTATATCGAACGAATGGGTATGGGAAGAAACCCCATATCTATATAATGAGTGTATGACCCCCTTGTATAAGGTTACCCTTGCTAGCCTTATTCATATTTCTGGTTAAGCATGAGTCAGGTCGCTTGAGGCGAAACAATTACCGTAACGAATGTCCTGGGGCAGTCTGACACTTAGGAACCGGGGTTGACAAGGGCGACGTACAGAAGTTCCTTGACCACCATGCTGTCCTTGCCCACGATTCTCGGTTCAGTCTTGAGCTATCGTTATGATGGGCAGTACATCTGCCAATTCTGCAGCGGCCGAGTCTTTCTTCCGGCATTTCATTTGCGGTCTCTGAAAACATTGTCGCTGATCTAGACCAACAGAGAAATGGTCTGATGTCGTTGGTTCAGCGAGCCATCGAAAGTGAATCTCAGTGTGCTGTGAACCTGGTTGCCAAAGTCTAGCTCCGGAGCCAGACGCCCTCCGACAGAATGTCGAGCTTCGTAGTCGTTTTCGCACTTGTCCCTAGACGGCAAGATCACCGCTACAAACAGTTCCTCGAGTCGTGGGACGGGCCAGCGACAACTTATATGATAATGTAGTCACTCACTTGAATGTCTTTCCCGAGCTGGGTACAAAGTCTCTTTGCGCGTCCGAAGCTATGACTAGATATGTGGCGAGATGCAACGTATGGGATATTTGAGCACGCAGGCCTAGATGATGCGGTAAAGACTTTTCCCCTACGGACAAATAGAGAGTAACATCTCAGCAGGCCTGGTTTGTACCAACTACGAAGTCACCTAATAATGTGATAAATTTTCTGTCTCCGGACTTTTCAGAACGTCCTTATTGTCCTTATTAGACCGATTCTTCTTCAATAAAGCTGACCGTGATGGTTGGTTGGCGAAGCGATTTTCTACCCTAGGTAGTCGGCATTGCCAGTAGGTCTGCGATGCCAAACATATGTAGTTACAATGGAACATTACCAGCCATTCATCATTGACCTATTAATAAGTAAACTGGATACAGAAGATCTTTGACCTTCCCCGTTGGGCAAATTATCCGAACCCAGAATTTGTTGGTCGTTGGTTCACCCATCAACCACATCTCCCTGAATCGCCTTCGACGATCGGCCAACAGCCATAAATTTTCCCCGCATCGTTGAACGCCCGCCATCTCATCTACATAAATGATCGCCCGCAGCTTTGAAAGAAGTCTTGAGCTCCCTCATCACTTTATCAACCGGATACAAATTTACAACAACATCGCCTCCAGAGCTTTTCCCTGGAGCTTTTAAACCATGCTCTTCACCGATCCAGTCGCAGTGTCCTGGGCACTTGTGACCACATGCGTGCTAGGCTTGTTGCGGGTAGGTTGGATCATCTAGTCCAATGTCAGAAACGCTTTGAACAACGATCTAGCTGTATTCTTTGTGGCTGAGCAACCCTCTCAAGCATATTACAGGTCCATGGTACACCCGCATCACCCATTACATGCTCAAGTGGCAAACCACGATCGGCCGACGGATGTATTACGTCCACTCTCTCCATGAAAAGTACGGCACCGTTGTACGAATCTCGCCGTATCAGGTCGCAATCTCAGATCCCGACGGCTTTGTTGCGATCCATCGTATCGGTTCTGGCTTCCTAAAATCGCCATGGTATGAAAAATTCGTTGGAGATTCAGGCGTCGGAATTGGCGTCTTTGCTACAGTCGACCCAGTGAAGCACGGCGTGATGCGAAGGCTTTTCTCTCGCGCCTTTTCCGCCACCAGTCTTCGATAGAATTGCGAGGAAGTTGTGAGGGAGAAGGTTGCAATGGCGATTGAGAGGATCAAGGGCGAGGCCACCCTCGGATCCTGCGATATACTCCATTGGTTGATGCTTATGACTTCGGATGTGATTGGCCAACTAGCATTTGGCGAATCCTTCGAGCTACTAGAATCTGGCAAGGTGCGTATACTGCCAGTGTATCTATCACGTCGCTTCATCATCAGGTGTTGCATTCTGCAATTCACAGCCAACTGACAACAACCGTTGACAGAAAATTGAGTACATCAACACCTTCCAATCGGTCGGGATAGGGAGTTTCCTGAAGTACGAGCTTCCGTGGCTATATGCGGTCTCTCACTACATTCCACTCAAGTCGCTTCGACGAATGCTTAATGCAGGAAACTCAATTCATGAGTATGGCGGCCGAGCTGTCGAAAACTTGAAAAGACATCGCGACAATAAGCCAAATCTCTTCGCTACTGCTTTAGCCGAGTGCGATTCTGGAGACAAAGCCGAACTCACCGAAAACTATATCCAAATCGAGGCGTCTAATCTGATCTTTGCTGGCGCAGATACGACGGCGAGTACTCTGACGTACCTTGTCTGGGCCGTCTTGAAAAGGCCAGAGCTTCAAGCTCGACTAGAAGCGGAAGTCGCTGTTGTTAACGATGTTGACCTATTCAACGATGCTTTTCTTGAGAAACTTCCTCTGGTTGCAGCAGAAGCTGAAGATGAGTCTAATCAAGCCGTATGGCCATCCCTGCTGACGTAGTCTAACGACGAGCCGGTTTCGAAGAACGGAGTCAAAGGCTCCCTTTACGTCCATAGTCAGAAGCGTCGCCGTGAGCCCCTTTAAAAGGGCCATCTCGATGTCATGGGTGAGGCCAGTTGTCAGATCGACGGCTGACCTGCCCTGTAGCGCCCCGATCTGTTGTGGACTGACGATGCGCTCGACAATCGCCAGAGAAGCCATCCTTCTGGCTATCAGTCGCTCGAGTCCCTTGCCCAAGCACGACAGGAGCGCGATCGGCCGCCAGGACCCGGGCTTGGAGGCGTCTCTCCCTGCCTTCTGGATCATAACCACCTCAGCTCTGCGGAAAGGCAGAGGGAAGTAGCCCACCCGTATACAGGACTGGAACAGTAGCCTGACCGGCTCTGAGATGACATCCTAGCAGGCCTGAAGGATGCGTGTTGTAATGCCGTCTATACCGGGGGTGGTTGTCTTTGTTAGGGTGGCTGCCCTTATTTCCTCTCTGCTAATACTGTTTTGCTACGCAATCGCTCGCTTTGGGACGATAGGTACGTTAAACGGATTACCTGGTGCGTCGTCTTCTGTACTAAATCTGTCGAGCAGGGCTTCCCGAAGCACTTGAGCCTTTTCGTTGGTATCCTCGATCGTCTGGTTGCCTACAACCAGTGGGGGTGCTCTGGTCAGTGGGCTCGCCTTCCGCCAACCCATGATCTGATAGAGGTCCCGGTCTGAAGCGACTCTATCGATCTTTTTGGACCAGTACGCCCGCTTAGCCTTCCTCACAATGCTCAGGAATGCCTTCCGCTCTTCCTTTAGAGAAAGATGTGCGTCCTGCTCTGTCTCCCAGGCTTGTTGGTTGCGGGCAGCGCGGTACGCTCTGTGGGCCTATGCGCATTCCTCCGTCCACCAAGCCGCGCTTTCCCCGTCTCTTCCTCGTTTCTTGCCGACCGCCTCAATGGCTCGGGATAAGAGCTCGACGATGTGACTTGTCTGCCCGTCGAGGTCTGCCGGAGTAGGTCGGCCCCTCAGATTGGGTATCGCAGCTACTGCCTCTTTCATCAGGTCTCTCAGCCGGGGCAGCGCCGAGTCCGGCACTGACGGTGGCCGTGCCTGCGGGCGGTCCTCGCCCTGTGGTTGTAGGCGTCTGGGTAGTGGCATGACGGTCACGATGGCCTCGTGGTCAGCCCCCGGGTGTAAGTGTGGGCTGACCTGCGCGTGTGCAAAAGGGACGTTGGAGAAAGCCAGGTCGAGGACATGTCCGCAGACCTGGGTTGCCACCCCTACTTCGCTGATAAGAGATAGGTTGTGACCATCTGCCCAGCCTGCGATGTCATCTCCCCGATTCCCGTTCCTCGCCCCGGGCTCCCAGGAGTAGTGGTGCGCGTTGAAGTCGCCCGCGATCAAGGTTCGTTCCGGAGGTTTGAGTTCCAGCAGTATCTCTGTCGTGTAGCTGTGGGGGTCGCTGGGTTGTCTGTAGACGTTGACGATGGTTGTCGTTTTATCGACCGCCAGCCACAGTACGTCTCTCGTGTGGACGGGCCTCTGCTGCTCCACCTTCATCCCTATTCCTTTACGTGTATAGGTCAATACTCTTGGTCTAGTACCTTCGCTGTCCCAGAAGTCGACCGGGACGAAGGAGTCAAAACCCGGATGTGTGTTGAGTTGCACGTTACCGTCCTTCCAGCCCGTCCAGGGTTCCTGGACGAGGACCACATCCATCTGAGCCTCCCAGCAGAGCTGCAGGAAAGCCGTGTGCGCCGGGGCAATCTTTCCGACGTTGCCCTGCGCAACGCGTAGCATCCGTGGGGCCGCCGCTCTCGGCCTACGTCTCCGAGTCGAGTTCGAGGTGGGTGTAGGCATTCGCAACGTTGTAGTTTGGCTTCTGTGCCGCTCGTTGGCTCCTGCTTGGCATGGGTAGCACGGGACGGTCGATGTAGGTGTTGTCGGGAGAGTCTTCGGCTTCATCCGCCTCGTCTTCATCCATGCTGCTGCTGTCAGTGCTTCCGTCGCCGAGGCAAACGATCGAGCTTGCGGAGGGCGTTCTCGTGCGCGCGCGCTTGGCGCCGGGCTGCTGGTTCTGGCTGGTAGAGGTAGGGACGCCTGCCGCCTCATGGCTGCTGTCGGATCGAGTAGCCTTGTACAGAGTGTCGAATACTTTCTGGCCGGCCTTCCGGATACGAGCCCGCTCCTTTCGACCGGGAAGGGAGACGACGCCGTTTACGACCGAGGGCCTCGCTGGGCAGTCTGTGTGGCTGGCTTGGAAGGGGCCGCAGCAGTTGGCACACTGAGGCCTGGCCATGCAAGGTCCCGTCTCGTGTGAGTCGGAAGGTCTTCCGCAGTTGCTGCAGATCGGTCGTCGTCCGCAGAACCGGTTGGAGTGGTAACCCTGGCAGCCGGGGTCGTGTCGGATGAACGTCTTACGTTTCTTGACGGGCAGAGATCTGCCGCTTTGGTTGAAGAGCCTGAAGGGCGTGACCTCCGATGTGAATGATATGAGCCAAGATATCTCGTTCGTGACTAGGTTGGGCCCAAGGCGGGACGGTCGAGCAAGGACAGGCTTCTGTCCTGTCTATGCGAAGACCTCATCTTCAACGAGCGCGGCTGGGTCCAGGACGTCCCCGCCAATGCTGTGTAGTTTTGTTGGGCATCGCGGCACAACGTACGTGTGCCACTAGATAGGCGTCTCGACTTGGTGGGCGCCGAGGCATTCCGCCAGCTTGGCCTTACTTGTAAGTAGTCTTTCCTGTATTTGCTTGTTTAGCGGCTTCAGAGAGTAACCTGTGCTGATATGGTAGACGTGAGGAAGGTCCGCTAGCCCCAGGCCGAAAGCCTTACACACGGTCTGTCGTACGGCGAACGGTGCGATTTTCCGAGCGACGGCTAAGCCTTCTTCCGGGACACGGGCAAAGATGCGGAGATCCTCCTCCGGCTGCGCCTGCGGCTGATCCTGGGCGGGAAGTGGGGCTTTTGGGCGGGCAGAGCTCTGGCCGCTCCAGGTAGCCGCAGTGGTGTTGCCCGCCATCGGTGCGGCGACAGCCGCCCAACTCCGAGCCGCTGCTGGGGTTGTCTCATGATTGATCAGTCTCTTGAGGGCTTGGATGACATAGCCACTGGCTTCTTTCGCGATCTGTTTTCTAGAACCGTCGAAGCTGGCGACAACGCTGTCAACGGACTGTGCAATGGTCAGAAAGACGTCTTTTCGTGCCTCGTACTGTCTGGCTTCTTCTGCAAGGGCTGTCAAGACGGACTCTGTGGCGGACCCAGTCGGAGCAGATGCTGTAGAGGTTGCGGGCCTCTCGGCCGAGGAAGGGGCGTCGTTGGTGGCGTCAAGCTGGCTTCCCGTTAGGCTAGGCCGAGTTGGCTGAGCCTCGGTGTCGCGGCGTCGCTTAGCTCTTGAGGTGGGGTTCGGCTCCGGAGGTGTTCCGGAGCCTAGTTCGGGGTCGGCCGTGTCGGCCGACATCAGTCCGGTGCCCGGCGGCGGCTGTGAAGCCATCGCGGATGCGGGCTCCGGCAAGGAGAGGTGAAGAGTTTTCGGCTGTTAATACTTTGGTGACAGGCTCACGCACGCACTAACAGCAGATGCCAAGAAAAATTAGGCGAGAGGGAAGTTTGCCTTCCTCGTCAAGTTGATTGGCAAGTGCGTGGATCGAAGTCTGCCCTCCACGATTATCTCGTTTGATGGCTGCAATATGATTGTAGAGATCCTGTTGGGTTGCTACAGAGCTTGTGGTTTGTCGTATGTATGTCCGGATATCCCTCGGCGCGACGCCAGCATTTGATAGACCGGCTACTTTCGCAAAATCCTCGTCTGTCAGCTTGCGGTGTGTTGGATGAGCAGACGGATGCTGGCTTGGGGGATGATTATGAGAAGAAAACCGTTTGTCGGGCCGGTGTCTCAAGCTGCATGTGCTTTTATCCAAGGATTCTTTGGTAAGCACAGAAAACTGATAACCGGTTCCCCTGGTGGTGATTCGTTTCTGGCGCGCTATTGCTTTCCTTGGGGGATGACACGACCGACCGCACGAACATGTAATTGTCCGCCGTGCACTTTTGACAGATCTTCAGTATAGTCAGCAGTAGCATGATGTATGGGGATGAGTCTGGTTGTATTTGCTCAGAGTGATCTGCTGGGACTGCAGTAGATCTATATAAACGAGTGGCATCTATCCCTTGTAGAGCAATCCTGGCCCGACTCCCATTCGACTACGTCCCATTGTCAAACGACACAAACGAAGCAGTCCCCAGGCCGGCACTTCTATGTTCGCTCCTGTCTGCCGACCCAACCCAAGTCCTCATGCCATGTTCGATCGCGGAGCACTGCGTTCCCATAACGAGCTCAGTCGCCTGACTTAAACAGCTCTGCTGCTATCGTAGCCGATTTTCCTGTCAAAAGAGGACTTACAGGGAACATACATAACCCCCATGGTCAAGAACCATCCCAGGCCCAGGGCCTACGTCACAACGCTGAGAACAATGGAGAACCTGGCAGCGTCGCCATCATAAAGTAGTGAATTCCCGTAGCCTCAAGGCGTAGATATACCGCGCGATCGAATAGCACGTTAACAAGAGTATCTGCAAGATAAGGCAGCCTCCGTCAATATACTCAAGAGCGGCGACTTGAGCACTGAGAAGTGAGTGGCCTAAGAAATTTCCTGGAACCTTCACGTACAAGCTCGAACGCTGGATTATTCATGGTATAAAACACGGTTATGTCAATCTATGCATCAAGATCTCTAAACCAGAATTTTTCCCCGTTTGTCATCTGTCAGGTGAAGGCAGTTGTGGCCTTTTCGCACAATCTCTCCGTAGCATTCTTCCGCCAACAGCGGGGAGCCTCTCGGGGAGAAAGGTAGTACCCAGTACTGTACCATTAATTGTTGGGTGATACTTTCGTTTCGATTCGGCCCATTTTCGTCGTCAAGATTTATGTCTACATAGCGCTCATCACAATTGATTCCCGCTTGAGTGATCTGCAGTCTAACCCGCCGCGTTCTTGTGTTCGTGGAATCAAGTGTGACCGTTGAATCTGCCTGCCGTGTGGTCACATGATCCCGTGACTCTTTTGTCCGGTGGTTCCGGACAGGTTGGTTATTCTCACTGTGGCTTGGGTCTGCTCTGCTTCATGACCCCTCTCTGTCTAACTGCTGCTTGATAGGTTACATCGTCGTGGAAAATGGCTTTGTAGATCGATCGAAGAAGAAACAAACTCGTGACTTCCTTCTTCTTTACGGGTGGATAATGGTCGAGGATCTCAACGAGATTCGGGCGGTCCATCGAATACGCTTCAGAATCAAGCCATGGGCGCACATGCATCTTCGCTGTGGTAACATTGGTTGTAAAAGCGCTGTAGGTTTGTCTTTTTGGCACATGTCGGTGTTCGGAGAATGCTTGGGCAATTTAATTAATGATGGTCTCGTCTGCAACGAAATCGTAATCCTGATCCTGCGAAGACCGGACCAATGCCATTGCCTGCTTTGCTATCTCCCGATGAGGAGAAAGCGCTTTGAGAGAACGAATTTCATCATTGTCAAAGCCCAGTTCAATGGCCATATTCGCAAATTATGGTAAGAGGCTAGGGTCGGTACGAATCGAGTGAAATTCCCTCATCGTGAACAGCCATAGACGCCTCATGGCAAGTTGAAACTGAGCCTCAAGGTTATCGAATTCATCCGGGGCGGGTGTGCTGACCGTGCTGGCAGGGACGGTGGGTTGAAGCTCTGAAGAAGCATCCTCCGAACAGTCGGGCACCTTCTCATCATATTATTGTTGTTGTTGTTGTTGTTGTTGTTTTTAACGCCGTGGCAGAAGGGCCGGAGCCCTTACCGCAGACCTCCCGAAGGATATATGGCGTGGAGAGCCGTAGCCCTATAACTATTGCTAGATACAGTTCAAATCGTCCTCCAAATCAAGCTCAAAGGCCACTACGCGGTCAAGCTATCTTAGGGTGCCGCTGGCTTGCCCTAGACAGTGCCAACTATTTTAACAGCGATTCGCCGAAGAATATGTCCAGAGAGGGTAATGCCGCCGAAGCGGGAACCCTCGTACACGATTAATTCGCACATGACCATTCCTGCCCCAGTACTAAGATGACGACGTGTACGCGCCGCACGTCCACTTTTTCTTGGTCAGAGGGTGTGGATGTGAGAAAACCCTGGCGAGAGCCCGGAAAGGGTCCTGGGCCTCGCATTGGACTCTGCCCTGCCGGTCCCACGGGTAGTTAAAGCAGTTGTCGGCGGCTGAAATCGAACCAGCGACCTCTGGTCTCCAGAGGCCTTGCCAGGTGTACGCCAATACACCACGCCGGCAGTCTACAAGAGTACTGCTTGAAGGTTGCTCCTCAATGAGGGACGTAGTAAACGCGAGGAGAAGCAGGACGCTAGGAGAATTCTTGGAATTTAGATGACAAGGCTATGAAAGCGATAACATGTTATGTGATGGATACTATCGGCCTGTAGTGCTCCACATCACATATCCTTCGGGAGGTCCACAGTATGAACGAGCTAGCAATGTCTCGGTCCAGGTCGTCATGGCGTTGAATACAACAAAGACTACCCTTGTGTGTCTTAAGCCCGGCCGTCGCGTAAAGATCTGATGTCTTGTAAAGCAATTAGCGACAATCAACATATCAAAGTATTATGGATGCCATCTTCTTGATGAGCACGTTTGAGAATGAACACGTACACTACTTGCAAGCCATCGAATTGCCCCATCCTTGAGCAGGAAGAGAGTGGTCATAGGTGATTGTGACAGAGCGTTCGGCACCGCTCAATTCGTTGGCGCAGTTGGCCGCAGTGATTTGATTGGATGCAATTCCATGCCAAAAGCAAGTTCTTATGCCATCGGCATATACGAAGCAACACATCGAATGCGCGTCGACAATTTGCTTGCCAATACTTTGTCGAGCAGGCGGAGACACCGGAATTCGCATCAATAGGCACTTTTGATCGTCTGGACCGGAGAACCAGTACGAAGTTTGCGCCCTACCAGCATGAAGTTGCACGTGGTATACTTGGCCAGCCGTCACTTGCTCGGCGGCAAAGCCAAGGAGAGCGGCGGCGGTGAGCGAATTGAGAATACTGAAATGCATGGCGAAGGTAAAGAAGATGTTTGAGATTATGGGAATTCCGACTGCGTCATGAACCTCTCCGAGCCCTGGTTTTATAAGAAAGGCCGAAGCGAGAAAATGCATGCACTGTAGACAATTCAATTGGGCGACGTAATTTGTATAATTTCCTCAGTCCGTCATAGTTAGATTGCAATATCAAATACTTCGTTAGCGGAAACCCTTTGATTCTTTTCAGCACCAACGAGTTTAGCTCCTTGCACTCGCCGCCTCTCAGCGACCATCACTTTATCTCAGTCTTTTGGGTTTGAAATCTCGCCGTCAGAGGGTTGGAATGGGTTTGACTGGGCCAGGGCTAGGCTGTGGGTAGCTTGGTATAAGCTTTGAATACGATACAATCAACGACGTTTGTTTTTTTTGGTTTTGGTTTTTTGTTTTTCAATTTTTAATTTTTTTTCATGCGTCAGGGTACTGCAACCCAAACAACGGGGAAAATCATTAGCAGGCTCGGATAGGACCTTGGCTGGATGACATTGAAAGCCTAGCCTGACACAAACACACAAAGTTTATTGCGCCCCTGCTACGCTTACCAGGGCGCTTATACTAGCCCGTTTTGACGGAGATGCAGGACCGGATACTAATTTCGTTACTGGCTTAGGCCGTTAGAAAGCGGGAATTAAGCCATTCGGGTTCTATTCAAAGTCGTAGTCCCTCAAGTGATAAATGACAGTACAATTAAATGCGGAGACAGAGCCATTTAATCAATGAACCCCATTTCGCCAAACTACCATACTTGACACCAGCTACTCCCTTCCATCAAGAATCAAGAGCCTGGGAATGGCGCTTGCAATCGTTTGATTTATGTACAGCAACATCTCACTCAAGGTGACCCATCCCCTTGCCCTTCCGCCGCTGCTATTGGGTATGAATAACGTCACCAATGGTTTTGCGTACGAAGGGGAAGATAAGAATGCTGCGGCTGCTACGTGCAGAACGGGTAGGGTGAAGTGAGCCCGCATAATAGATGCCTGGTGTTTCGAGCGTCAGCCGCCATAAACACACCCATGATCGCACATGGCAAAGATTGCCATTGGGAACGGGACATCATCCATCTCTGTGAGATTGTTGGATATGCCAATTTTCATTTCAGATGCCAGCTTACACTGTACGGTGCGCAGCTAAAAACAAAAAAAGAGTCGGCGTCGCTTATGATTTGATTTGATTTGATTTGACTTCTGATTTGACATCTGATTTGACATACATACATACATACATAGTTCATACCGCCCCGGCTAAGCTATTCAGGGCTCAGATGATTATCTACATGATCTCCACCTTCGTTCATATCCTTGCCTCCTAGAAGCCCATAAGCCCACTGTCTATCCCCATATGCATTACCTTCAAGACTCTTTGCCAATGCTGCGGTTGCTCGTGGTGTTAGTAACAGGCCACCTTGAGGTTGTCTCTCAAAGTGTTCGGCGTCCTATCGTCGGCGGCCGAAGCCAGCCCTGCTATCGATGGCACGAGGGTGCGTGGGGGTTGTCGTCGGTTAGTGTGTTGATGTAGGTGGTGTGTGATCTCGCTGCTGGTTGATCTGTGCATCCAGCCTCTGCGTACTCGTGGCAAACTTGATCGTCTCTTTGACAACGTCTTTGCATGGCGACCAATCATCAGGGTCGGACGCGCTCTTTCCTCCGAGAAAGTACGATAGGTTTTCTCTCTGCAACTCCGTCTGTTGAAGCATCTGGGTTCGTTGTGCCGTCCACTGTGTGCAACGGAAGAGAAAATGCTCTACCGATTCTGCCGCATGCCCGCAGGCGCATTGCGCCAAGGAAGTTGCTCCGATCTGGTGCAGGTACCAGTTCAGTCTTGCCATGCCGGTGCGCAGTTGCGCCAGGATGCTGGCTTCTTTCCAGGACAGTCCATCATATAGCTCGTGCGTATGCTTTCCTGGTAACGCGACATCGATCTTCTTCGAACATGCTCCTACGTTGTTGGGTAAAGCTCCGTACTTCTGTCGCACGCTCTGTAAAGCGATTCTAAGTGCCGTCGAGTAGGCTCCGGTCGGTCGTTTCTCCGGTGTCTTGTTCGGTCTCGTGCTGTCCTTTACTGCTGCTTTGGCCGCTTGCGCCAGGTCTGACTCTACAGCTGATGGGAGCCAGAAGAGCGTGAACTTATTGCCTCGTCTCTGCAGAGCTTGCATGCTGGAGTATAGTTGTCGGACCTCTCGTTGGCCTGACTGCTGCCGGGGGTTGCGCATCACTAACACAGCCGCTTTGCTGCTGGTGAATACGTGGATAGCCCGGTACTCGAGTTTCTGGGGTAGAGACATGACCGCTTCTGCCAGCGCCGCCAGCTCTGCTACATACGGGTTCAGCTCCGTTCTCAGGCCGACTGTGCGCGAGGCCTTGATAACTCTGCAACCCTCTTTGAATGATACAGGCAGCATTGTAGCCGTTCCGTAGCCCACAACTCCGTTTCTTGCCGAACTTTCCGTCGCTATCCTTACTGCCCACCCGGACTGGATTGCTTCGGTGGCCTTGACCGCGTCGTCGTCGACTACTGTGTCAATACGGGCTTCCCATGGAGTGATCGAATACCCTTCGATAGTCTCCAGCTTGTCGAGGGGTCGGTCGCGGTAGGCCTCCGCCATCAGCTGGAAGGGTGATGGAAACCGTCTAAAGGCCACCGCCCGCAGGCGTCGAAGCGGATGGGTCTTGGGAAGGCTTCGCATCCGCACCCAGAACGTCGTTGATTTTCTGTCGTATCTCTCTTGCGCCGATTGTATGTATGCTTGCCTCCGCTTCAGCGACCATACAGTACATACAGTATATTGTGTACACACGTAGCGTACAATCCAAAACCTGCTGATGCTGGGCGAGACTGTGAAGCCATTTTCCCGTTCGCCTTTCCACTACAGTATCACTGCGCGAACTGATGCCATCTCAGTCGAAATCGGGTTAATGCTCATCTTTCGGGGGATCTGTTGATGGGAAAATGCATGAGCCCGCCTGCTTTGATGTGACATACGTGGGCCAACCTGGGTTGCAAACCAGACATCTTAATTGTCCGTCATGTCCATGAGCGCTAAAAACAGTTTCGCCGCTTGCTGGATGCTCCCGCCGGACCTGGCCGCACCCAAGTAAAGCACGGGTCCCTCGGACGTTCTATGTTCCCTGGCCGTTCATCAGTCCAGACCCAGCACCTCGGTCGTCCTACGACTCGTTGCCTCAACTCGCCGCCCATTCTAGATGGGCTTCCACCCCCATCGTTATGATGCCGCTGACACTGTCTTGACAGTGCCACATAGCGATGCAGTAAGTGATAATCCGACGATGCCGGGCAATGGTTTACGCACTTGTTCCGTTGACGATTTTCCAATGGCTTCGCCGGAATGCTGTCCCTCGATCGATGTGGGCGGCGAACTTCGGACTTCACAACCTCTTCGTGGTGCAGCCTTTTTTAGCAATGGACCAGTGCAGAGACGTGGCAGTGCGCGGAGTAAGTGGTCATCAACGCGCGCTGGCAGTCAGGTGTTGATCGGGCTGTGGCGGCTTGCAAATGACTTGCATATCCAATAGCGAGGCGCTCGTGGTTGACGATACAATTGCTTATTCGAAGCCTAAATTGAAGGTCAAAAGCTAGAAACTGATCTCGATGGCGGCTGTACTGTCTTCGAGATGCACGGGTTGTGTCGACCGCAGACCTAAGAGAGGAAGCATAACGGCAGGGAATTCAAAGGTTTGCCCAATACAAACTTCTGCACAGACGTAACGTGCTGAGAATGACCCACACTGGTCAGTACCGCCACTCGAGAAGTCCCGACAGCCAGAAACACATGGGCGAATTCGCCCAATTGAAGCGGCGCTAGTGCCAGACTTCTGCACCGTGTCCTTTGCCCGTTTCTCCAAGGTGTCAACTCCATTTCTGGCTACTACGGCCGGCGGTCATTCTTGCATTCTTGTAGTACAGCCTCTTTGTTAGCACATGTGCCGACAGGCCTGCCGGGACTGTTGTGGGGCCTTTAGGGGACGGCAACGCAGCAGCGCTCCTCAAGCCAGAAAGAACAAATGCTCACGTCCATCGACATCCACATCCTCATCAGGCTTGACCAGATGATCTTCTTGAGCACCAATCACCCCAACAAGAAGGCTCCGATTGGTACAGTACAGATTTGTGGTGTTTTTGAGAATGCTGCTATTCTACTACCTTTCTTCTGTTCCCTGCCACCCCAATCGAGGTAAAGTCCTCGTCTGAAGCCTGATCCAGCTCTCAATCGAGTGCAGATCCATCCGGAGGTGGCCCTCGCCGGCCGAGCCGCTTTGACGCCGAGAACGAGGCCCTAAGGCAAATTCTGTAGGTTATTGAGTGACCTGGTGGGCTTTGTACGCTTTCTTCTCAGCATGACATCTTCCGGTGATATCTTGGATGGCCATGTCAACTTAAGTATTGAATGCATTAAGAGACCTCTAATAAGCTTATCCCCAAACTCTATCAATACCTATTACGTGACAGGGATCAGAACCGCAACCCACGAATTGCCCGCCACGTGCTACGGTATAGCACTTGTATGTCACTTACAACTCGTATGTAGACCTTTTTTGTGTCCATTTCCACTTTCATAGATTAAGCCACTTTACTATACTCCGTATGCCTGTTGCTGCGTGCCATAACTCACGACAATACCCGTCCTATGGTTTGTGTATGACAGGACCGCGATGGCATCTCACTTGTCTTCGCGGTCAAGCATCCTCGATGTTTCATGATAGCTCTTGCTTGATAGCAGAATCACATTCAGCAGTGTTTACGTTTGAGGTTTTGAATGAGAAGAATAAATTATCAAGGTTTGCAACAAGACTCTCGCGTCATTCCTTGCAACAGTCGTACTTTCTTCGTGGTTCCTGATCCGATCCGAGGACATTTGCAGATTTCCGATAGCAGACTTCTTACCACACGTTACATCTGGGTCTGAAAGATTTCGCTTCAACAACAAACATTCTCTCTCGTTTGAATTCGAATTCCGGACCCATAGTGAAGCTTCTGACTCCACACTCGTACACATACTGTAGAATTTCGTCTTGCGACATTGGAAACCAGGGCGCGAAAGAAAGTGTTTCAAGCCTCGCAAAGGTCGGCTCGAAATCGTCCCACTGAATGAATGGCTCGAAGGCTGGTTGAGAAGGCCCGCCCGATGCAGAGAGCGGGGCAATGGAGGTGTCTAGTTCCCAAAGAGAGGCATAAGTCGCTTTGAACGGAAGCAAAGACCAAACTTTGTTGTCGATGGTTACTTCCTGGCTGCAAAATCCGTTCTGCAAGAGAAAAGCAACAAGCTTGTCGCGGCCTAACAGAAGAGCAAGCTGAAAGGCTGACAGCAGCTCTGTACCTCGGAATAAGCAGTTCCGTTGGGATTCAATGACATCGGTACCGCAATGACCGAGGAAGCAGTCGTACGGCAGTCTCCTTTGAAAATCCGCCCCCAGCTGCTGAGCTCTTTGAAGTACACATAGTGAAACGGAGTCGTCTTCGCACTCGGAAATCGCCCAGGCAACACAACGAGGAACGGGCGATTGTAAGTCTCGCTGGTAAAGCAGTGGCGCACAGATAAGCCGAAATAGCTTGCTGCACAGCGCTAGTAATCGGAGAGTCTTATCATCGCAGTATGCCATTACCATGGCAAGGATCTCCGGCGGCAAGTAGATGGAGCTGGAGAGTCTCTGGGAGGGCGTAAGTTCACCAGGGATTGCTGACATGGCGTAACTCTGGTCTCCGTGGCTCAATGCTAGTGCGTGGCTTGAAGTGGTGAATGCTTATTGCAATTATCTTGGGCTTGACTTAATCCAATCATGGCAGACATCCTTTGATCCAGTCATGGAAGAATTCTTGAATGCGAGAATTCTGATGGCCAATCGTACTGATCAAATAATCCTATGCGCTAGCTTCGTGCAGATCTAGGCACGAGTATCGAATATCACTAAAGACGCACAATTAAATGCGTCTCCGGCTCAAAACCCCGATATTTTCTTCTGCGTGATCATTGTCCCAATCGCGTGGAACCAAGCTTGCCCGGACGAGTAGAATATGACTTGGTGACGCATGAAGGAGTCAGATCCTAGAACCGTCCCCAGCAGCACGATCAAGACCACGGCTTCCTCTCCATTTTACCTGCCTGCGCGATCCACATCTCGCTCTAGCCAGGGACCAGTTCTGGTGATCGTCCATGCTATGTAAAACCCCAGTAGCTACGTTTTGTAAGCTGGGCGCTGGATATAGATCTACCGCTTGTCTACATTTATTGGATGGAGACTGAACACAAAACTGCTTAACAGATTAGTTTGTTGACCGGAAGCGAATCGCTTGTGCAGTCATTCTGAGCGATTGTACAATCGCTCTGGTCAAGCCGAGAGCAGCTGATTTCGGCGCTGTTCGGACGGACCCAGAAAGTATCTAACGTACCAAGATATGTTGTTTTCAAAGAGTGCAAAACGACCACAAGACCATTACAATTCAATCCATCAGGGCAGCTGCGGACTCCTCGTCAAGTCGTCAAAGGTTCTTTCCACCCGTGCATGTTGTCGTGCTCAGCACCAACACAGTGACATCTCAAAAGGCACGCAGACTTCCAGGTCTAACATTTCGGAACACAACAGCATTGACACATATTGAGTGTTCGGTACGGTATCTAGTCCGCGCTCAGACTACCCACAGTACACTACTACACGCACCGATCCAAATACGTTGTCATCCATATTTTAGTCGCACACGACGCTAGATCCGATGGACTCCACAAGGAAGGTCCAGGCGTCCGTGATAAACGCCGGATGCCGCTTCTCTCGTCCGGCATCTAGCCGACGAGCTCCCGTTATCATTGCAATGGCTTTACTCATCTCCATCAGCACCTACTTCCTGCACAGCCTCGACGATCGCGTATTACGTCGATCCTTTGAGGTCAGTCTTTTGCAGCAAATGCTCTATAGACCGTCGATCTCATGCGCCAACGAGCATCATCAATATTCTTGGTCTCTTTCACTGCCAGAGCACTCCATACCCCCCCCATATCTGGCAAATCAGTTTACCGAAAGCCAACGGCATGAGTGACTCCGTGAGATGGACGACGATCGAGCACATCAGCACGTGGCTAGCCCTCAATGGAGGACATACGTAGTAAGTCGGCTTTGTCTCTGTACAGCACGAGCTGAGACCCCACAGCGCTCTGGTCGACGACAGAAGCAGCAATAGCTTTGTGAACTCACACTACGGTAATACCTCCGATGTTTATCACACGTATGAGCAACTGGGCAATGCTGGTATGGGATCTAGTCTGCTTCGATATCTCCTCCTGGCAGCTGGAGGCGGAATCTATACCGATCTAGACACTATCGCCCTGAAGCCCATCGATACATGGGTTCCAGGCCACCTGCGGAGTCATGTTCGCTTAGTGGTCGGCATCATATATGACCAGCAAGACCGTGCGCCACAAGAAGACAAAGCTTACCCGTTGCAGTTTGCGCATTCAACAATCGCTGCTGCACCTGGGCATCCGGTTATCCACAACATGATATCCCAGGTGGTCACGTCCATGAGGCGTCCTATGGTCCAAGACGGAGTCGACGAGGCAAAAGACAGGCCTAGCAACTTCGATATTTCGTACATCACCGGTTCTGCAGTGTGGACAAAAGTTATATTTGACTACTTGCAATCTATGAACTCAGATTTGACGGACATCATGAGTTTTTCATACTTGGAAAGACCGACATTGTGCGGGGATGTGCTCATATTGCCCATCGACGGCTTTGGCATGGGTCAGAACCATTCGGGGAGCGCCAATAATGGGCAGATTCCAGACAATGCACTTGCAAGCCGCTTGATTCCCGGCTGACCGATCCTCAAGTCATGCGCTGTGATCGATGGCTGGCGTTAATTGAGGGACTGAGCAGATGACGTACGTAGTAGAAACAGGCTTAGACAAGCTTGATCGAGTTCATCAGGGGGCCAAGTCTTTTTACATTCTGCAGTGACACAATATGACATTTCTGTCGTCGTCAGAGGCTTCGTGGCAATGCGCTCGCCGGTACACACCAGTGTGACTCGCTGTGACGATGGGCTTGGGGCCCTGGGACAGTGTAAACATGTGATATGGGTCAATGCTGAACTATGCTTCTGGTACTGCAAAGTCTCGACAAGCTTCAGAAGCGTTTTAAGGCGATGATCCCACAGAATCGGGACCTAAGAAATTTGAAATTACTTCAAGCTGTCCGTTCCATCAAGAAAAGTGTGTTTGATAGCTCACAAAGCCTCGCTTCTGAAGTACATGAAGTAGCCGGTGTGCATGGGTCTCGCAGTATCCTTTGTCCTGGTCGGAGGCTATGTCATTCATTGATGTCCGAACGACGAGCCATCTGGGTGAATTGAAGGTGAGTCTTTGCACCCCATTTATTTCCGCAATGGTCTGGGACGGAAATGACTTTCTTGGCATGGAGGCGTCACACTCGAGGCTGCAAAAGCATGCTGACCTTGTGGTCGGGCAGATGGTGAACGTGACCTACCGAGGCGGCACGGGTCAACGGGTGTTTTCTAGGCAAAAAGGCGTTTGGCTCAAGCTTTGTTCGGAATCCTCATCTATTCTCATACTACTTCTCCCATTGCATCCATCTTCTCTTTCCTCTTTCTTTTTTTTTGGGGGGGGGGGGGGGGGTCAAGGGGAGGGTCAAGGCTTTAAACCTTCAGGAACAGACCGTCGAACCAAACCAATGTGGTTCAGTATTAATTGACATAAGTCGCAGCCGGAAGACCAGTCCTCGCTTCGTGGTCAAAATATCTGAAGGTCATGAACCGGATTTCAGTCCCGAGCGTGCCGAGTTTCCCAAAACCTTCAATCTCGTCAGCAACACATCGCCTTGACAGAGTAATCCCAAGACGAGAAGACTGGCAGATAGAAGCTAGATGTGAGATAGCGATAGACGCTCGCGTATCACCACAGATCTGAAGACTGATCAGTTGCTCAGACGCTCTCGCAAGCTTCGAAGCGTCATCTAGGTCATCTTTATCGCCCGTCCTCGGAATGACGGTCTGTAAAGACTGTGATCTGCCCTGAAAGTGCTTGTAACTTGTGCAGGCCACTGGATGTATGAATGTGAGATGGCGGCCTGGGTCCCGTCAACTCCAGTGATGCGGACGTATACTGTACACAGAGACAGTGTATGATGCTGAGCAATCGCCACTGCCAGCCTCATCCGTGGCCGTCAATGGAGCCCGACGGGATAGGCCCCTCATACCAGCACCACGCCGAGCATTTTGCGCATTCAAAAGCAAGCGCCTCGTACCCTCGAACGGCCGTCGACTGCGCTTCGCGGCACGACGGCCTTGGCTGTGTTAGCCACAGAGCCAACTTACGATCCGCCGGAGCACAAATGTGCATGCATGACCACTCGGCCGGCTAGGCCCCACCCACCTCGAGATCAACAAGGTAACCTTTCCCCCGTCTCGAGAGTCTCGCGCACCCTGCCTCGCTCCCTTCAGGGACTTCCACGACAGAGCTCGGTACGTACGCGAGCGTTCTGCCAGGAAGCGCGGTACGTGCGGGTCCGCATGGTGCCCTGCAAGGTGCACCCAACTGCGGATGACAGGGGAGGTGTGTGCTCCGTAATCTACTTCTTGCTGTTGATGCTTCAGGCGACGTGCCCCCCATCGGGGCCTGAATAGGCCTTCCCAGTACCACGGTCTATGGGGATGTTCGTTCTTGGGTAATATACACTCCTCCAGCTCTGGCCAGTTTTTGATCCCTGACGAGATTCCAAAGGATCGAGATGAACTGCGGGACGGGCAGGGAACGCCCGCTGTACTCTCGGTCCCTGCAAGATGCCCGTGCCACGCGGTGACTATCATTGATGGCTACTCGCTGGTGCAAGGGGAGTCACAAAACCCGGCCAACATGGTTTTCCACCTTTGTGCGTGGGCCGTCTAGCCAGACCAAGGGTCGTGGACGGAAGCCTCCGCTCCTGTCTGTGCCGTAGAGTTCTCACCCACGGCCGTCGCTGTACACTCTGCAAGACGTCCGCACCCGGAGGCAGTAGATGGACAGTCATGTACGGTACTTCGTGTGGTCACACTGTCCCAGTCGGGCATGCTTCGTGCCCCGTGAGGGATACCCATGGCGGCAGTCAAGCTCCCCTCTTTTTCCCGCCAGACGAGGCTTTGCCCGAATACCCGGATCCAGACAGATCGAAGTGGTATCATCCGCCTCGACCGAGAAGCCAACATGGAGAACGCTTTCCGGCCGCTCCAGGAGAAAGGATACCAGGTATATATGGACGAGAATTCCAGACAGAACGCTGAAGCCCGGCGTTGCATAAAATTTCTTGGTGCATTTCTCAGGCTCTTGGCGGAAGCATACGAGTGCGACATGAGCTTCTTCTTCACCACCTATAGCAACAGCGACGGCGTCCACGTCTCCGAGGCGAAACTCAAGATAACACAGGCGCTGGAGCAGCTTTTCAAGACTCCATCCTGGGACGAAGCCGCAGCAATCGTTAAGCCTTTGACACATTTATCTTGGGCTTGAGCCCTTTCTCAAGGAGTTTCCACATAATCCGAAGATTCTGATCATGGCCGATCGTTGTGATCGACAAATCCTACGCAGTTGGCTCGCCCTAGAACAGGCACAGATGTCCTGTATCACTGTAAATGCCTATTGTGTTGTATATCAGCGTCTTAAAGGTGAACTCTCACCTTTGCCCGGACGAACAGAAATTAGCCTAGTGACGCGTGAAAGAGTCGATCTACCAAGCAACATGCCTGGAAGCGAGAAGGGCCATTCCGACTATCAAGGTCAGATATCCTTTTCAATACCCTGCCTGCGCAATCTACGTGTCGCTCCAGCCAGGGAGCAGTTCTGGTGGTCGCCTATGCCGCGCCCAAATGATACAAGTAGCTTGTGCGCATTTGTTGAATACAGGCTTAACGCGAAATTCGTTGACAGATAGGATCTTGGCCAGAGGCGAACTGCGTGATATTCTGCGTCACGCAGTATCCCTTATCATATGGTGACGCTTCACTATGTCTATCACTATGCATTTCGTTTTGTGACATACGCTGAAACGGCCGAGTTGTGCCTCCATCTCGACACGTGCCCAAGGAATCTTCATGGTCCGTCAAGTTCGATAACAGTGTGAATATTGCAAACGAACTTACTCTTCAGCGGATCACCAAGATCCTCAGATAGTAAGGCTCACAAGGTTCATTGTGCTCCTAGAGCCGTAACTTTTCAGAAGAGAGCGACGATCTTTTCTGAGCTAACCCCCATCCTGGTCTCATCGAACCGAGGATGGCAAAAGCGTCCTTTAAGACGTGTACATAATTCCACTTTCCTTCTGGGTCCTGAGCCCTGTGATGGTGCCATCACGGTAACGTCCAGACCACACATACACCATCAAAATATCAAAGCGGAAGATCCATCAGCATCTCTAACGACAGAGCAAGCTCAGCCTCCAACATCGGGGTTTACCCGTGTCTCGCTACTCCGTGCGGCCTCCCCCGCTGCCGCAGGCAGTCGGTCGAACATTCACCGGGATATTATTGGAGAGTCTCGCAGTTCTGCCCGCTTGTCGCCGGCGGATGAGTTCATCTCTTGCCTTTCCATTTTATCCCTGACTGACCAGCTTGGTATTTCACAACCTTGCCCGCCCCTATGTGGCCTCACAGGAACCGTTCTAGTCGACGGACGGTCCAAGTGTCCCCGTCGTGCTACCAGTAGCCATGGACGACGTACAACATTCGGTGGCTTGTTAAGTAGTGAACCCCTAGGAAAGTTGAATTTTGTCTTCCAAGTCGGTGAGTGGCTTCATCCCGCTTCTGTTGATCGACGAGTCGTAGACCGTTCTTCGAGCCTGATGATCGAGTTGCTGTGCCGTCTGTAATGGCCCTCTACCATAGTAACGGGCTGTGGGAGTGGTGCGTTTGATTCAGAGCACAGAGTTCACGTACACTCAACTTGCTTTAGAGAAGTGAAAACAAGTCAAGTTTGACGGCCAGGTCGGTCTACGCCCTTAGACCGACAGTTATCTGCCGGCTAGAAAAAGCACAGAAGAAATAAGTACCAAACCAGACAGTAAGTTAACTTTAATGTGCGGGTTTTCGGTGCGAGCTCTAACAAAATAGGATCGCACGAATTACGGCTGATTTGGGCAGAATTAAGCCGTAGATAGATCCCATACGATG